TAGCCCAACTTCGCTCTGGCTACTGAAGCAGNGCGACTGGGAATGGAATTGATGACCTGTGTTCGAAAGTAAACGGGTATCTCTCCGAACTTTCTCGCTTCTTCAACGCAAAGTGTCTAGCCCCCTCCCCTACGAAATCCTCTGCGAACCTGTTCACAACCTGGACGAAGGTCAGGCTACCGCTGGGAATTCACGTCGATGACACACCAATTCCGCCGGTGAATAATCCCAAAATACTCCGAGTAACATTCGACAGCCTGATCTCCTTCTCTGCGCACGCAACCGCTCTTGGCAATAAAGTACAGAGTCGCAACAAGGTCCTCAAGTCGCTAGCCAGCAGTACTTGGGGTAAAGACAAAGAAACGTTGCTTGCAACATACAAGGCAATAGGCCGGCCGGTTTTAAACTACGCAGCGCCAGTGTGGTCGCCGGGGACTATTAGGACGCAGTGGACGAAGCTACAGACTGGACAGAACACCGCTCTCAGGACAGCGACAGGATGCCTCCTGATGTCGCCCGAACATCACCTGCACAACGAGGCACAAATGCTTCCCATAAAGGAGCACAACATAATCCTCTGCAAGCAGTTCCTGATCGGGAGCCACAGAAGTGGCCACCCATACAGACAGCTGCTTGCAGAGGAGCCCTCGCCTAGGCACGTCAGGAGGCATCTATATGCACTGACGGACGAAGTCCAGAGGTTGACCAGGCAGGGAGTCAGTCTCGAGTTATGTAGACTCTAGACCTGTGAATGCCGTTCTAGGAATACCGCCACTGGACATAGACGAGACGGAGCTTCATCTGCCTCGGGAGACACGAACGACAATATCCCAACTCCGCTCTGGCTACTGCAGCAGGTTAAACTCCTACCTGATTGAATGAGAATGTGCCAAATGAGTGTCCGGCATGCGGAGAGACCCCACATGACTCGAAACATCTCTTCGCATGCCCGGAAAACACGGAAAACCTAAACTAATAATTGTTCAACGTTAAAGTTCTTATCAGGTGCTGCGAAGCAAGCTGGGCATTTGATAGTTTATTAATGATTTACTAACCGAAAATTACATAGTTTAAAAGTTTACACCCTTCACTACAAGTGCGTGTAAAAATTTTACGGATCTGGTCATACATTTGGACGCAATAGGCCGAAATTAATGGGCAAATAACTAAACCGTACTCCAGGCCCTTAATACCGAACGATTACTGTCATAATATCACTTTATTTCTAAGCTTAAATAACTAATAAAATTTGTTGCAAATATCAATANGACCAGGCAGGGAGTCAGTCTCGAGTTATGTAGACTCTAGACCTGTGAATGCCGTTCTAGGAATACCGCCACTGGACATAGACGAGACGGAGCTTCATCTGCCTCGGGAGACACGAACGACAATATCCCAACTCCGCTCTGGCTACTGCAGCAGGTTAAACTCCTACCTGATTGAATGAGAATGTGCCAAATGAGTGTCCGGCATGCGGAGAGACCCCACATGACTCGAAACATCTCTTCGCATGCCCGGAAAACACGGAAAACCTAAACTAATAATTGTTCAACGTTAAAGTTCTTATCAGGTGCTGCGAAGCAAGCTGGGCATTTGATAGTTTATTAATGATTTACTAACCGAAAATTACATAGTTTAAAAGTTTACACCCTTCACTACAAGTGCGTGTAAAAATTTTACGGATCTGGTCATACATTTGGACGCAATAGGCCGAAATTAATGGGCAAATAACTAAACCGTACTCCAGGCCCTTAATACCGAACGATTACTGTCATAATATCACTTTATTTCTAAGCTTAAATAACTAATAAAATTTGTTGCAAATATCAATATATGCATTAAATTGGGGAAAATTTTCCAAAACGGATCCAGGCTTTGGAAAAAACAAAATATCAGGGAGTATAGAGGAGCTTTTTCAGATTCTAAATCTGAAGACCCCACCCTCCGGAGGCTTATAGTTTTTAAGTAATTCGCATTTAAAGTTGCAAAAAATACCGAATTCAACCTCACTTTTTTCCTTGTACACCAATTGAACTGAAATGCCGGTGCTGCCATACATACTAAAAAATGCAAAAAAAAACACAAAACGGAAACAATGAAAAAATGCACATACGCCGCCGGCGAAAATTTTTAATTAAAAATTTTCATAATTTAGTCCCCTTTCAGACACGGCAAGTCTTGAAAGCAATTTTTTTCGCATTCTCTTTTGTGTTTTCTATTTGCTTCCACACGCGTCAACTTTAATTGAATTCAAGTCCTTGGTTCTTAAATGGGAAGCAACGAAAAGATCAAAAGAGACAAGAAAACTTGAAACGAATTGACGGTACGAAAGTATCTGTACTCTTCCCCTCTCTTCTCACCTCCTTCGCCAACGAACGAGCAGACTTGAAAGCAAGACTTGCCATGTCTGAAAGGGGACTTATCGCAGGATCAATTTTATAATAAAAAGCGCCGCGGTCGAAAAATTTTCATAAAAAATCGCGCGATTTTTTATTAAAAATTTTCATTATTTATCGAAGTATCGATTTTATAATAAAAAGCGCCGTAGGCGAAAATTTGTAATAAAAAATCGCGCGATTTTTTATTAAAAATTTTCATGATTTATCAAAGTATCGATTTTATAATAAAAAGCCCTTGGATCGAAATCGAAAATGATATGGTTTATAGTTGTATTTTATAGCTTCGAGAAGTATGGCAGCACACATTTGCTGTTACTGTCGGCCATTGTTATTTCTGTGTTTGTGAAAAGTGCAAAAACGAGTGAACGGATTTATAAACGCGTTTTAGTTAATTAATTGATGAATATATATATATATTAAAAGTATCAAATACGCACGTGAACATTGAAGATATTGTATATCAACCAAAATACAATTGATAAGTGGCATTTTGTACAAAAAGTTGGGGGTGGTAGTGAAGATTATTTAACAACAATCTGCTTAAATACTATTAGCAACTACTTTGTGAGAGTGATACATTCATGTAGAGAAAGCCTTCCCCAACATCCTGACCAAGTTTCATGACTAAATTCCATATACTTTCGCTGAAATCTCGATTGGTTCCGTTTTGGAAAGCCAACCCTTAAATTGTGTTAACTAAAGCAAAGATACTTGCAAAACGGTAATATAAAAACTTCTCAATTCTCATGCAAAATATATAACATTAGAACATACATGCAACCATGACAATGAAAGATATATGTATATATAACATTCGTAAATAATTCCAAGGCATCGCTACACTGAAGTCCAAAAGAATCAGAAATTTTCATATTTCTACAATTTTACAAGCATTCGCTTATGTATGCAAAAAACTTACATTTACGGTCAGCTGATCCTTTAAGAACTGCAAGTAGAAGTTCAAATCCGATTTAGGCATGAGTTCCTGACCCCAACAAGCAAGTTTTGCTAGAATACGCGATGACATGTTTACAATGAAACCGTCTTGACGATTTAATAAGTTAAGGAAAGGTCCCCAAACACACTCTTTATTTTGTTTTGCGTAATCATGGAAGAAATGAACACGCGAACGTTCTTCTTGCAGCATATCATCGATCATCACAAGTATATATTGTATCGTCTGATCTTTTGAAACATGGGCGAGCAGATTCAATAAAGTTTTCACCGCTTGCGCAGAATTTTTTTGAAGATAGGCAGCCTTGGCAGTGTCCAGTGCGCTTATTGCATTAAAGTCCTCTTGTGATATCATCTGAGACTGCATGTAAGATGCCCAGTTAATTGTCCTGGTACGTATATCAGCTGCCTGCTGTTGCAGCACTGAAGTGGCAGCTATCATATCTTAAAATTATTTTAATTTTTAATTATCGGTGATATTTGCATTTTGGAAAATGTACAAATGTTTCGCTAAAGAATAAGAATACTTACCAATATTATCTTCGGGCAAATTTATTAAATCTTTAACGTCTGCCATTTTTTTGCTTACTTAGATACAATTATGCACAGGAATATTCTAATAATTTTCAAGAAATGTCCGCAAAGTTATCACTTTTTTCGATGCTGCGATTAACTAAATATTCAGCTGACAAAAGTCACAAGACCAAGACAACAGAGATGCAATCAAATAGGAGTTTAGTATTTCTAAACAAAGATTTCTTTAGGGCTCCGTCACACGATCAAGTATCGCAATATTTATTGGCAGTGGATCATGCAATATTAGCTTCCCCACAAGAACAGTGATAGTCATTTGATTAATCATGTGTTCTCAATAGTGATGGAAATGTCCATCAAACACTCCCATCACGTTTTTAAGGCCAATATGCAAAAAATTAAAAAAAAAAATAAATGTATACATGTGATCTTTTCTCTTCTTTCTACATATGGCCTTATTTAATGGTATCTTTTTTTAACCAACGCAAAATTGGCAAATGAGTTAGTAAGATAAATTAGAATGTAATAATTTCTATCACCCAATTCTTGTAGGGTTGGTTCCACACTTTTTCCGGGATGATTCGGCAATTAGAGCTTAAAAATAAGTTGCTCTCTCACAAGTGTCAAATATGTGTCAAAACGTGCCACAATCAGCTGTCTGCTTGGGTGGCCACTTCTGTGGCTCCCGATCAGGAACTGCTTGCAGAGCATTACATTATGCTCCTTAACAGGGAGCATTTGCGCCTCGCCGTGCAGGTGGTGTTCAGGCGACATCAAGAGGCATCCCGTCGCTGTCCTAAGTGACGTATTTTGTACCGTCTGTAGCTTCGTCCACTGCGTCCTGCTAGTCCCTGGCGACCACACTGGCGCTGCGTAGTTCAAAACCGGCCGGCCTATTGCCTTGTCTGTTGCCAGNGGGTCTTCATCTAAAGTGATAAAGGGATAAATTACTTAAAATTATAGGTTTATCCGCATGTTTTCATGAACGCACTTTCGTAAATAATTGCACAAACTTATTTATTATTTAACTCATCTGGCTAGTTACGTTTCATTTTATTGTGCTAATTTGCTTTTTATGTGTTCGTAGCAAAATCGACTTCTTGGCAGTCTGTCAGGGTTGAATTTTGCTAAAACGTATACGTTTAATCACCAAAATCTTTTGATAAAGTAATAACCTTTGGTTAAATAGATTTTCATACAAAGTTTGACAGTTGATTTATCTCTCTTTGGGGACCAATTGGTGAAAAACTGCGAAAAGGTTTATTACTGTATATACTGTGTTTCTGTTAAAAGTATTTCGCTGTTGTGGGCTGACTTCTCTTGAGTTTACTTTCGCCAGCTAACCACTCCGCTTTTTTAAGCATTTCTGAGGTGTTAGTAGTCAAAGGACAGTTGTTGTAGACCCTCGTGTCATGAACACTGCCTGAATATCCAAGTACCATGTGACGTATTCTTAATTTCTGGTCACAAACACCCTGAACTTTGAGAGTGTAAATATGTTTTCGCGAAAAATACGCTTTAGGATCCTGGAAAGGTTTTTCGGCAAGTTTAACTTCCGTTCCGTCCACATAGCCAATGCAATACGGTAGCTCGTGTAAGGTTTCAGCAATTAGAGTTTTACGGTCCTGATCGCCCGGCCAGTATAAAAATTGGTTTTTTAGCTTCAGAGTACTGTGGAATACTCCATCGGATGGGTACTAAAGGCAAATAAAATAAAATCCTAGAAGTGAAAACTTTATTGAAATGGTTTACCTACACCAAACAAACTTGCAATTCTTGTTATGGTTGCTTCTTTGCCGCTTACAAGAGCAGTCATTAAAAATTTCGTCGTATTTTATTAAATTAAGAATGAATTCAAATGTTTTCGGGCTGATTCGAACTATTTCGCGAAATCTATTTGCGGCCATCTTTAACCATGTTCACATTACCAACATAAAATACTTAGTTTCGTTTAAAATACCTCACTAAATTAAGTGCGTTCATACACGCGATTCTTTATTTGTCTTGACAGCTTTGTAGCAACGCTGTGTTATTGTTTATTTAACCAAAAGAGATCGCGAATGTGAGTGATTGCGTATATTTTTATATTCTGAGTTGTTTGTGGTAATTTTTTAGATTTTAGATGAGTGATCAAAAGAGAAAGCTTCTGGAAATATTTTACAAACTACCACGCGCAATTATTAAAAACAAAAACGTCCAAACACAATGACATATCAGTTATGGGACAATACTTTTTTCGATTATTATCGATAAAATTAGAGCCGACACAGATTTGTTCGTGATTTGGTTCTTGGTTTAAGATAAACTACGTACTTTCAACTTAATTTACTGAGAGACTTTACAAGGCGAAATTACTTAGTTTGTACTTAATTTATGCGTAAATTAAGATTGACCTCTAAATTACGCCAATGGGAACATAGTTTTTGGCAAAATGTCTTCTAAGAAACTTCGGGTCTTGGGCACAGAATGGTGAACAAAAAGATATACATACCCTAAAAGTTCAAATGCGCTGATTGCCAATGTTAACTCATCCCAAATTTTCTCTCTAGCTTTCGTTGGTTTTCTAAAATATACAGGAATGAGATATATGCTTAAGGATAAACACGAAATACAAACGATCAAATGTAACTTACCATCGTTTTTACCAAAAATTTCTAGCAACAACAAATCAAGCATGAATTTCTGTACAAATATTTATAAATTGCTTCTTTTCACTTACTTTCGGCATTTCGTTTTTTGTTGTCAAAAACTTCAAAGGTGACACAACTCAGCTGATCAATTAAAACTACACACATATTTCACGAGGTACGTTTATCTAACAGTGTGCGTAAACGCTTAATTTTCAGCGTTTCATAAATTTAAACGTTTATATGAATACCCTTATTGTTTACAACTGATTTGTTGATTCCGGGTACGAAAAGTGGTTTTTGCGTTCCTAACGCTCTGGGCACATTGGGCACAGGTTGACACAATTTTGACACTTATGAGACTTATTTTAACGCTCTAATTAGCGAAACAGCATGTGGAACAAACCTACTGTCAATAAATATTGATGGTGTAGCACTTTCGGTATAAGTTAAGAATCCGAACGTTGCAAAAACTAAAAAAAATATGTATGGACATCAATAGAGGTTTTTGAGACAAGTATAACAGTATTATTCTTTTGGGGCGGAAATGACAACTACGGTAGTTACGAAAGGTCAAAAGTCAAATACAGCGCTTTTTTCAATCCAAATATCTCCAAAACCATAGCACAGATTCAAAAAATGTTGATGTCATTCAGGAGAAAATATTAGTCGCTTTAACCAAATATAAATCTTATATATATCTTCTAATGCTTTAGCAAAAATCCAATTTATGTAAAAATAAGTACAAAACATTTTAAACAAACTCATTTTTCTTAAAAAATCATATAATTACGGTGACCATATCATCGATATTAATCTTTTTTTACGTGAATATTTATAAAAGTATAGTAAAACATATTGGCCCGTAGTCATAGTCAAAATAAAGTCGACTTTAAAGTTAGTTGCAGCTTTTTGACATAATTTTCAATGGGATATCTGTCAAAAAAGCTGCAACTAACTTTAAAGTCGACTTTATTTTGACTATGACTACGGGCCATTATAATTGTAATAGTGAAAAGTGAAAATCTTTAAAAGATTATTTTATAGGCAAATTTTGAGTCCTTCAAAACGAAAACAATAAATACCCTTCTTTTTTGTTTTTTGGTACTTCCCGCAGTTATATGTCAAAAATCGACGTCATGAATCGACGTAAACGACGAGTAACAAAGTGCCCTTTACAAAAATATTCAACTTGTGCAGACTGTAATGATATATCTTCTTTATCGAATTTTAAAGTAATGAAAAAAAATAATCAATTGAAACTGCGTATTTGATTGAAAATCTCACTTTTTTCGACTTTGACAACAAAATGCAAATGGTCGCCTGCAGCACTAATAATTTTCATTGAAGTCGCTACAAGTTGTATATTTTGGTAAGAGGCACATCACGTTGATTGGGAGATTTTTTCAAGAGATATGGAAGAAAAGCTACGAAAAGTACCAAAAAACACTTTTTTAAAAAAATCCATCCATTGTCCGATAATTTTAAAATAACGATAAAATGCGGGACAAATGCAGGACACTTGGAAAACATCAGTACATTTTCTGGTTTTTCAGGTTTGAAAAACTACGCAGGACCGACCTTTGAAAAACAGTACGGTCCTGCAAAAAACAGAGCGGATGGAAGTATAAAAACATATAGGTAAAATACCCTACATATACTCCCCCTCCAGTAAAACAATAAATTAATTAATGTTAAATGTTTTCTTTTTTGTATTTGGAATTGTTAGTGAATTAGATTTTTTTGTTGTATCAGAAATTATATTTGCAGGTTTGAGTAAATCAATTGAAACCGTTTTAATCATATTTCTATGTTGAATTTTGAATACTTTGTCATTTTTCTTTGAATAACTTTAACAAAAACGTACTCACAAGTATCCAAATTTTTAGGAATAAAAGAGTATTCTTTATTGTGATGTACCATCTTTGATCTAACATTTGAAAAATATTTTCTTAGCTTAGATAGAGTTTCATTTGTATTATCAACTTCATTATTATAACTGTTCGTAATAACTAATTCACCTGGTAATCTTAATGTTTATCCACAAACTAATTCTGCAGAAGAGCATTTTAAATCTTCTTTAATAGACGTACGTAGTCCTAATAATATCCAAGGAAGAATTTCAGACCAGTGGGTAGAATCATCTGAGGCAGTAATAGCAGTCTTTAATGTCCTATGAAATCTTTCAATCATTCCATTTGATTGAGGATGATATGGGGATGTATGAATTTTGTGTGATCCTAACAATTTATTCAATTCTGTGAACAATTTTGACGTAAACTGTGATCCTTGATCTACTGTTATATAAAGGGGAATGCCAAAACGAGGAACGTAAATTTGAAAAAAATGTTGCTATAGAATTAGCTGAAATATCCCTAAGTGGATATGCCTCTGGCCAACGTGTATGTCTATCAATGATAGTTCAAATGTAACGATTTTCTTTTGACACAGGTAATGGACCAACAAGATCCATATATGTATGTTCAAATCGTCCAGATGGAATGTTAATTTTTTGCACAGGCGTCTTAGTATGTTTAGAAATTTTTGATTTTTGACAACTTGTACAAGTAGAAGTCCAATTATTTATCTCTTTGCGCATATTAGGCCAAAAATATTTTGATTGAATCAAACGCCTAGTTGTACGGACACTTGGATGTGATAAAGAATGAATTTTATCAGAAATGATTTTTCTCATAGAATTGGGAACAAATGGTCTAAAAGGTTGTTGAGAAATATCACACCAAATATTAAGATTAAGTACTGGAATATTAATTTAATTTAAATTACTGTTGGAATATTGGTCAGATATTATGTCATAAAGTGTTTGAACTTTTTGTTGTTCCTCGAATAATGTTTGAAAATTTATGTCATGGGCTAAAATCATGTTAACATCTGGAATATGTGAAAGGGTATCAGCAACTATGTTTTCTTTTCCAGAAATGTATTGAATGTCGTCTGTAAATCGTGCAATGTACTCTAAGTGTCGAATTTGTCGAGGTGATCTGTCTAATTTAGAATTTAGAATATGTGTTAAAGGTTTATGATCAGTATAAACAGTGAATGTTCTACCTTCTAAAAAACGTTTAAAATGTTTAATTGAATTGTATATTGCTAAAAGTTCTCTATCAAATGTAGAGTAATTTAATTCTGTAGAAGATAGTTTTCGTGAAAAATATGCAAGTGGTTCTAAAATGTTGTTACTCATTTGTTGTAAAACCGCACCGACTGCTACATTCAATGCATCGACAGCAAGTGATAATTTACCATTTTTATCAAAATGAGTGAGTAAAGTCTTCTGTGTAAAAAGTTTCTTCACATTTTCAAAAGCCCTAGTTGTATTTTCTGTCCAGTTTGACTGTTTAAGTTTATTTTTAGTTGCTAATGTTAACATTTCGTGCTGCGGACTAAGTTCTGCTGCTAACATTTTAACATATCTAGGGTAATAATTAACCATGCCCAAAAATTTTTGTAATTTATTTATTGAAAGTGGTTTTTCAAAACTTACTATTGCTTCAACTCGTTCGACAGAAGGTCTGATTCCTTCACTTGAAATTTTATAACTCAGAAAATCTAATTTATTTGCTCCAAAATTGCATTTACTAGGTTTAATATTTAAACTATATTTTTCAAGTCTTTCAAATACAGATCTATTTATGTATAATATGTTGATCTTCATTATCACTTTCAACAAGAATGTCGTCAATATAGACAAACACAAATTCTAAACCTGAAAATACTTCATTAATAAAACGTTGAAATGTTTGTGCACTATTTCGTAGTCCAAAAGGCATCCGTACGAACTCAAACATTCCAAACGATGTAGTAATTGCTGTTTTATGTATATCTTCTTCAGCCATAAGTATTTGATGATATGCACGAACAAGATCAATTTTTGAAAATATTTGTTTATTCTTTAAATCAATAGTCAAATCATGAATGTGAGGTAACGAATAACGATCTGGAATAGTAATGCAATTAAGTCTTCCATAATCTCTACAAGGTCTCCAATCATTTGGTTCTTTTTTAGGAACTAAATGTAAAGGAGATGCAATGTGAGAGTGTGAATTACAAGGTTGAATGCATTTAAAAGCATTGTTTTTAAATTTTCTATGATACCAACAAATATTTTGATTAATATCGTTTCTAGATCTATTTCTCGATATAGAACGACTTCTGTCTCTATCTCTATCTCTTGATCTTGATCTAATTTGTAATTCATTTATATCTGCTGTAATTTTTTAAGATTTTGGTAAATAGCTGTAGTCAACTCAGTTAAATTTCTAATGCATTGTTCAAGAATATTATTATTATTTTCTTCAGGAGCAACATT